AAAATGAATATATATAATATATAAAAACAATATGATCCGGTGTGTGTGTGTGTGTGTGCGAGTGCCCGGAACAAAACCAGAACGATTTACATACAATTATGCGCGACTGCTGCTGCTGCTGCTATTGCTATTGCTATTGCTGCTGCTACTACTTACTATAATCTCATTGGTCGCGGTCCTTGGGGGATACATAATTTAATGCCGGCCGAGACGATGGAAATACAGTGAGAGAGATAGATACAGAGAGAGAGAAAACCCATTGGAAAAAAATTCCACGGGGTGGGTGGACGGCGTGGTGGCCGGTGCCAAAGGGGGAGGGCGGCCAAAACATAATATACATATACACAGTAGGAACGAAACTGAATAAAAAGTTAAAATCCACCCTCGCCGCACAGGAGTTTGTGTGTGTGTGATTTATGAAGAAAATCGGATAATCCGCAAAGGATCAAGAGCGCATCTGATATCCGTAAAAAAGGATGATAATAATAATAATAACAACGGAGGATATCCATCGGACGGCCGCGGTTTGTTTTGACGTGTCCCCTCGAGGGAAATGACGAATGAGTAAAATAAAAAACGTTTATAAAAAATAAACCATACATTTTGTTTGTTTTGAACAAACACAAATCGACCCTCTCCTCTGCTGCCCTCCCCTCGCTGGTATTGTGTAGTAATATTTAAATAATAATTCGGTCGACATAACCGGAAACGCACAACCCCCTCCCCCCCCCCCCCAAACGACGATAATAATAATTATTGTTGTGTATTCAATTATTCGCATAATGTGTATACACTACACTACTACTATATAGATGCATAATATATTATAATAGTACCCACCTACAAGCATTACATTATATGTTCGAGATGCAAATCAGCATTGTGTGGGCTTTGCGAAACGGCGGTATAATGACAATATAGAAAATGATGATAACAATATTGTGTACTTGCCCGCGAGCAGCCGCAGTGCATTGTCATTGTGGCAAGTCTAGTGTGGCCTTAGAGGTAAAAAAAAACTAAAAAATTTACTGGCGACTAAAATGGAATCGAAAAAAAATATTTGAAAAAAAAGGAATATGTAAAAAGGTGGCGAGAAAATATATTTAAAAAAAAAAAGTATCTGGAAACAAAAATTCGAATCCAAAATATCGATAATTTTTTATTTACATTTGAGTCGTTTAACTTGGATGAGTCATATACAAGATGGTTTTTTTTATCGTGGTCCATTCAATATCTCACTGGATTTAATATTAATAGTTATGTATATATTTTTTTATTAAAATACATTTAAAAATCTGTTAAATTAATACAATAGGCAAATTTGATATAATATGTACACTTACATGACTTGAATAACAACTAATAATTACATTTTTTTTTGTATTTCATATTGTTTTTGTACATAATGTGATTTCAACGTGACCACAAATTTTGTTACCCTAATAATATTCCCAGTCTCTTCTCAAATTAATTTTGTTTGATAGCCACTTTTGCCACTTAAACATATTTTTATCGACTTTTTAATTAAAAATTAATTGAATATTTTACTACAAATTTTGACTGGTCGACAACCAGTTTTGGATAACAGCTATTTTTAAAGTTATATGAATTTAAAAGATACACAACACTCAACCTTTCCTCCTGCTCTAAACATGAAACTCTTATAAACTAACCTAACCTAACCTAACCTAACCTTTTTTTTTTTTTTTATATCTGCATCCATAGAAAACTGGGGAGGTACTCGCCTGTTGAGGCATTACTTCCCCCCAGTTTTCCGAAACCTAACCTAACCTAACTGGTCATCGACCGGTCAAAATGTTTAGTGCATTATTGTCAATTTGACGAAACGTATGCGCTACTATTTAAGTTAAAAAAGTCGATATGAAAATAATTAGTTTTAGTGGAAGTGGTGGGTAGGAACATAAACAATACACGAACGCTACAACTGTGCATATTACAATATTTATCCCTCTCGACTGGTACAATACGATTCGAGGTAAATATGTGATCGGTGGTGTATCTTATCTCATACAATAAAAATTCGTGGAATTAGCAATCTCACTACTTAAGACCCGGTAGGACACACGCGTAGGAGTTCTTGGAGAAATTCTTAACAAGTTCTCACGGGGAAACACACATACAGCTCTCATCCGTCACTTTCAAAAATCCAAACCCATCACTGGCCATGGACATGTGAATCTACCTATGAATCAATTACACGGTCACAAAACGGTCGGTCCGGTCTTATCTGGATTTTTTTTTTCCGGGGGCCTCGCACAACACAATATGCGTGTGGAAAGTGTTTATTTTTTTAAGCCTACCATTAAAAAAAACCGACATTAGTATAATATAATCTCTTTTCGGTCGTCGTAAATCTCCACAGCGATAAGCCTCGCCGGGCCATGACGTTTGTGTGTCGTACAGGTCGCTGCTGTAGCCAACCGATCGGTCAGAGGTATTATAACAATATAATATATTATATTACATATTATTTTTTTTTTTTTTTTTTAGGATGGACACCTGACTGTTGTCTGAAATAAATTATACTATCCTCCGTACAGGTGTAATACCCGTCGGCGGTACCATATTTTTTTTTGTTGTTGTTATAAAAAGGTGCCAAAACCGATGGCGTTGGATTCTCAAAATGGAATCTAGACAAACTCGCATCGAGTCCACAATTATTATATTACAATATTTCTTATTTTTCATTGAAAACTCGATCACTTTTGATTGATTCACAACGGTCAATAGTTATTAAAAAAAAAAAACCATTTAATCATGGAAGATGTTATCTCTTATCACTTATCAATTCTCTCTTATCGTTTATCTATTATCACTCACCGCTTATCTCTAATAGTTTATCGTTTAACACTTGTCCTTTATCATTTATCTTGAATCTCTTATCACTTATCAATTCTCTCTTATCGTTTATCTATTATCACTCATCGCTTATCACTAACAGTTTATCATTTAACACTTATCTACCATGAACCTGGTTTTCATAGGTACTTCTCTTTTTTTTTTTATGTATATTAACAGCGTTTCAAATTATTTCAGGCAATTTTATTAGGATTATCATCTCTTATTTTACCAATTTGTAATAACCGCCAAAATTAAATGTTGAAAATAACATGTAAAAACTATTTTTTTTAACCTGGGCTGATGACCTGGGTTTAAAGTGAACAGTGAACTTTATTCTATACTTGATTAATTCGACTAGACTAGTTTATTTTACATCAAACACAAATCTACAAAATGAAGTAAATGTTATGCAGAAATTAATTCCTAACAAAATTTCTGCAGTAAAAAAAAAATGTTTGAGTGAGATGGACAGTCTAAATCGTTTTATTGAACGTTGTTATTTTGACTTGAAATATTTTCTAATTCAATTTATTATCCCACTTTAGGTTTACAGCCTGCTGTTGTACAGTCTCACCTTTGATTAAAATGTAACAGCACTAAAGGGAAATCGGCTAATAGTTCTCACAACACAATTCGACTATTACAGCATGACTTGTACTTTGAGACTGTACTACTCTAAAAAAAAAAAGGCATCTTTAAAATTATATATATACATATTTTTAGTAGTTATTGTCGTCGGGACGTAGACGGTTATAATATTATTATGTTGCTAGTGTTTTGGCGGCCGTTTAATTTTCTCTCGGTTCGCCTTTTTCGCATTACGACCCTGCCCAAGTCGCTGCTGGTCGCAGATGTTGTTGCCCGTCTCGGTAATCGTTTTCTATAGTCATAATAATAATAATGTACACACAACTCGGTCTACTACAACGACATGGACCACCGAGCTAATGGACTACAAAACGTCTGCGGTCTCCTCGGCTCGCAGGAGGAAGACCCTGGCTCGTTGGAGACGGTGGTCTTAATCGTAATTATTATATTATGTGCAATATCCGTAACGTTAGTGGGTAGGTATTCATACATAGCGTGTAACAGTCGACCTAACCCGACCTGCCTATACCTGCCCGACTCCGACCATCGATTACCTTTGCAGACCATTTGGATCGACAGCAGTTTACCGGAGAGCTGCCGGTAACTATGAAAAATGATCACCAACAACATTGTTAACGATGTGTGTGTACACAAGCGGTGCGTTGAAAACATATTTAATCGATTTTCGGTTTACTAATTGCCCGGCAATCATTAACGGCCGTTGAGGTTTATTCATCCCCAATCGCCCCCTCTAGTCTAGTCTCAATGCTTTACAGTAATTACATTGGCGTGCTAAGGCCCCTAAGCGTGCTGACTGTCCTAACTTCTCTTGGCCGTTTGTGTCTCTTTTAAAATTATATTAACCACTCTACAAGCTTTACTCAATATTTTACTGTTTATTAAGTCTAGTGTTTAGAATTGAATTAGTAACTGCAAACAGATGAAACGAGAACGTTTGGACAAGTACACAAGGTGATTGGACAACTATGACACTATGGTTTAAAACAACTGTCATATTTACCAAGAATTGTACCTGTTATGTGTTGGTAAGCACAATAAGAAAGGGCCAAAGTGAGCGTGCTGGTTTAGACTGCACTCAGTTTGGACTGCACACGGTTTGGACTGTGCCTGGATCTAACTATCCCCATTGATTCTACTGGCTTTTTTTTTTTTTTTAAACAGCTGTTGGCATTAAAATTTGTTACTGTTTTTTTTTTCATTTATTTTCTATACGGCCGATAAGAATGGATCCGTCGTTGTATCTGTTGGTCGAGGTTATTCGAATTCGTATCGTAGTCGTGGTCTACACGTTTTGAAGCGAAAGTTGTATATTATATATTTTATTATCCGTGAGTGAAAAAATTCCAAAATTTGTCAAATTTGATATGAGTGTCTTTTTAAGAAACGCCCGCAGTTGTCTGAGACAGTGTAACAATGGTAAGTGGCGAGTGGCGACAACCTGTGGACGGCGAGCAACGTACGCCAACGAGTGCAAGTCGTTCGGCAACCGCAACGGCATCGTGCTGGGAATATACCAGAACGGCAGCACGATGGAGTTCTCGAAGGAGTCGACGGCGTTCAACGACCGGCTGGGCGGCAAGCTGGAGGCGCTGGTGACGGCCACGGGCATCAGACAGGGCGACGCGGTGCTGTTCAACAACCTGGACAAGGACTACCCGAACGTGGCCGTGGCCAACGTCGGCCCCACCGTGGCGGGCCTGGACGACAACGAAGCGATGGACCTGAGCAAGGAGAACGTCCGGCAAGCGGTCGGCAAGGCCGTCGTCCTGTTGGCCGACGAGGGCAGCAACAAAGTGGTGCTGGACGGCCTGAACAGCCCGGAAACCGTGGCGGAGGCCGCCACGCTGGCCGCCTGGAAGTTCGAAAGCACCAAGTCCATGGAGAACCAAGGCGTGCCCGTCGTGGTGGAGCCGCTCAACAAGGACGACCGGGACCTGTTCGACAGAGGTATGATTTACGGCGGCGCACAAAACCTAGCGCGGCTGCTGACCGAAATACCGGCCAACATACTGACGCCCAGCAACTTTGCCGAGCAAATGATCCGCACGCTCTGCCCATGCGGCATAACCGTCGACATACAGGACCGCGACTGGATCGAATCGAAAAAGCTGTTCGGCGTGCTGGAAGCGTCCAAGGGGTCGTGCGAACCGCCGCTGTTCGCCGTGGTCGGCTACTGCGCCGGTGACAAGAACGACAAGCCGATGGCGTTCACCGGACACGCGACCACGTACGACACCGGCGGCATGTGCATCCGCGAGTGCGACGACATGGCCTACAAAAAGCGGCACGTGGCGTCTGCCGCCACCATCGTGGGCATGATGAAGGGCATCGCGCAGCTCAGTCTGCCGGTGAACGTGTACGCCTATATCCCGCTGTTCGAGAACGCCACGTCCGGCACGGCCATGCACGCCAGCGACGTGTTCAACGCGCTCGACGGCAAATCCGTCAATGTGGACAACACCAACTTCGTGAACCGGCTGGCCATGGCCGACACGCTGCTGTACGCGGCCAGCACCAACCCCAAGCTGCTGGTGCACGTCAACACGCTCAGCCATATTGCGCACACAGTTTTCGGCGAGGTGGCCACGCCGTTGTTCACCAACAATCAGATGCTGTGGAAAGAAGTCGAGCGAGCCGGCGCCACCATGGGCGACCGCGCGTGGCTGCTGCCCCGGTACGAGCGCAAGCGGCAAATGATCACCAGCGATCCGCTGGCCGACATGGCCGTGCTCGGCGAGGGCGGCATGCTGCTCGACGACTTGCCCAAGAGCGCGGCGTTCGCAAACGAGTTCATGGCCGACCTGGACTTTGTGCACCTCGAACTGGCCGGCGTCACCAAGAACACCGACGAGGTCACATACCCGTACCTGAGGCGGGAGTTCGCCACCGGTCGCTTGACCAGGACCCTGATGCAAATGATCTACCAAATGGGTTGTCCCCATGATCCGCCGGCGATCAAGCCGGCGCCGGTCAGAAAATGATTTGAAATTGATGACCTGATGTCAAAAACTTGTAGAAAACTCCAATAAAATCCCCTTCACTTTTAACCTTTCATTGTTTTTTTTTGAGCTTGGAGAATAGCTAGAAGTGGAGTCAGATTCATGGTAGAAATGAAATCATGAATCGAAGCAATAAGAATGATTATAATGGTAATGAAAGAGGGAAAGAAGAAAGGACTGAAGTAAACGTGTTTGGGTGTGATTGAGAATGGGATAAGGACAAAGAGGATGATTTTCAGTGATATACATGTCTTGATTACACCTGAAAATGATCAACATAATATTTCAATACACGAAAGCTTTAACTGCTGGTGTATATACGAAGATGATGATGATGATTTCACACAAATAATTGAAAACGAGGATGGTCAACAAAAAAAACACCAGAATGAAAACGCTTTACTCGTTATGCAACCAATCAAACATTCACAATACAAACTTCACATCTCTTGTACATTTTAATCGATCCTTATCATAATATAAGCCTGTCCAACCTAGGCATCTACATCTACACCAGAAAAATTAAGAAAATGCAAACCTTCCGAAATAAAATATGTCCAAGAATATATGTTGATAAATTCTGTGATTTCGGAATCTCGCTCTTACCCAATTGAATAGCTTCTAAATAGATCTGTAAGATAATTATTTTTCAAAAACGTTTTTATCATCACAGCTATTATAATCTCGTGAAATACACAGTAATACACACACACACTAAATTCATTAATAAGTCACACGGTGGCTCTTAATGATTGAGCATCAATTCAATAGTCACAGCAAATCACAGCTTAGCTCGTGGATCTACTTTCAATTCTCTTTTCCGAATTTATCCATCTACTCCATACATCCCTGTTACTCTGCCCATAACAACCAGCCCTTATCACTTGGAGATGCATTACGGCTAACCGTTGTACATAAATCATCGCCGGCACCGAGGAAATCCCTTTTCCGCGCTAATGAAAATCCTCTGCCGCGTATAGCGCAGGTACATATTATTATCATTATAAATATTATTATATCCACGATGCACAGATGCGCCGTGGGTGGGTTTCTTTAATGGTGTTACGCGACGGCGATCGAGGATAACGTTTGGTCGTGCGCCGACCAAAGTGGGCAGAGAGACCCACGACGGTCGTATATACAATTTTTTTTTATTATTTCATATAGGTGGTAGATATGTATAAGGTTTTTTATTTTTTTATTCTTATTAATAAATGGCCACTCCGGTATTTATTGCCACGAAGCGATGATTTAAGGCGCGTGAAGCCGGCGGTCGCTAATGGCCACCTACGGTGATCTCTCAGGGGCTGTGTGAGCACATATAATACCCGTACAGGTATTATACACATTTTTATACCTATATAACGCTGTATTATTGTATATACCCGGGACTTGACGTTGTTGTCATACTGTAGCAGGTCGCGCGCGCGCCGATCGTTAGCCTCCTCGGTCGGTAAATAAAAACCTAATCGTGTCCCGGCATAATAATTATTATCATCGTCGTCGACAATGACGGCGTTAAAGTGATATACCGACTCCCTCTGAGAGGTGGTGGCGTTTAGTGTAATATATAATTGTCAAAAAAACGTTAATCGTGCGCGCATACCACCATAGGTAAAACCATCCCATCCTATCCCCCGTTTGACCGGTGTAAATTCGTCCAACGATTGCCACTGACCGGCTGGTCACATAGAATCGGTCATGTCAAATGATATGTCAGTTGACTGAAAATTAGGTATGCACTGTGGGGAAACACCCAGAAGTTAAAACAAACTTAACGTCGACGGGTTAGGTTAGGTTAGGTTTTAAAATATGTCATAGTTCAATTGAAAAACTATTGTGTTCGGTAAATAGCTTTATACGTATACGAGAGGTAATAGTAAGTAGATTGAAGTTATACTATGACTTGAATACTTGATATGGGTATTTTATGTTAAACGACTTGATCGAATCCCAACTTGTTAGAAAACTGCTGATTAAGAACAGCTCGATATCGTCTCAAGACTCTAAACTAAAAGAAATAAATACATTTTTTTTTCTTTAACAATATATTGGAATTCTCGACAGTTTTATGTCCATGCCGGATCGTCGCATTGGTTACCACCGTTGTATTATTCAAATCGATAAAAATAAAAAAATGAAAAATGCGCAAAAGCTGCAGCGAGACGTCGGGTGGAAGCACCGAATTGCATTACCGGGCCATTTTGAAAAAATGTAGGTATACATAATGTGTACATGTGTTTGTAGGGGACAGATGTGGTGGAATGTAAAACGGATTGACGGTTAGACTTTTGTGGGTTTGATCGGTTCGACCGTGCCGTTGTGATACCTTTGGCCGTAACAATGGCGGCTAGCACGTGGCTATAGACACACATTGAAGGACATCGCGTCTTCAATAATGCCTTCCGTTATTCGAGTTTTGCTGTTGTGGTCGAATTAAATTATTAATAATATTAATGCGAACACAAATAGGCCGGACGCGGAATGCCGTGAAAAAAACCAAGGCTTTGTTGTCCAATCAGCTGCCGAAACCGCATTCGATCAAACGCAACTTGGGTGATCGATTGGGCACCGTGGTCATCGAATCTCAAAACGATGAAATCATCGCCAGGCTGTGGAAGGAATACATGGGCGGACAGTCCGTACCAATCGAATTCGGGCTGTCGCCGGCAAACGCTTTGGCCGGAAATATCCTTTTGATGCCACCAGACGAGGACACGAAACAGGCGCTGACTCCCGAGACGATCGTACGTGAGTACACAATGTCACAATGAACCCAGAATAGGAGAAGTGAAATGGTCCATCACAAACGGTTTACACCTCTCCCATAATGCAGGTATAGGTCAATCGCTCAAGGAAGGCATGCTGACCACGAGGGCGGATCGCTACAAGGAAGAATTGGAAAAAGAAGCGTCGGCTTTGAAAACGAGTCAAGCGCGCAAAGCTAAAGCGGAACTAGACAAAGTCCACCAAGAAATACGGACAGCTTATGAGAATAAAATGGCTTGTCTCATGGAAAAGTGCAACGCAGCGATTCTTGTAAGCCGGTGTGAATAATATTAGGCCGGTTTCACCTGCCCAGATCACCCTGGACTCTTTTTTTTATAAATTTGTAACCCTTCCGTCCACACATTAACAAGGGACTAATAATAAGAAAAATAATATCAAAACTTGATAAAGTTCCCTTACTTAAAATAAAAAAGATTTATACGAAGATGTAAATTAACCAGCACTTTATATTTTTTTTCTTCCACATCTCTTCGTTCAGAGCCCAACACTAGATTCAATACATCATTGCAGTTGTCCTCGTTACAATTTTATAAAACTCTTATTCCACTCTAATTGACACTCAATATGTTATCTTATTTCGCTTACCATATCTTCCTTAATTTCTTTGTTTTCTCAATAAAAATATCTTCCAAACACTTGAATCTCTCAACTCTACTTACCAGTTGCTCTTCAAACGAAACAGCTCGTCTACTTTGTGCTAACACGTCCAATCAGTGCTTAACAGTCAGTACTCAGTTTTAGACTTGATTTTTCTACAATGCCTCCCTACTTCTAAGAGGGAAGAGGGAGGTATCTGTCTCTGTGAAAATGGACACTGTGAAACGTTAGCTTCACGCGTATAAATCCGAAACTAATAGCTCAATCAAAGAAAGCTTTGATATCATATTGACACACTGATAGAATATAGGGTCCTACCGTTGGAGTTAAAATTTGATTTTTGGTAAATTTTCGACAGGAAGGAAGCGAACAAGCCAAGCAGCGGATAAAAAACGAATGTCGATTGAAGATCGCCGGCACGGAAGACAGGATCAGGCAACGTACGGTTGATCGGTTGCAACGGTTGGCGGCGCAGAAGGAGAAAGACTTTAGGATGGATTTCGATTGTCATTTGACCGGGATCCGGCAAAAACAGTGGGAACTTTATTCGGAGGCGTTGCGATCCGCCCAGTTGGCGTGGTCGCAGATGATGGCGGAAATGCTATCGGACCACGCAAAGAGGTTGACCAGGATTCGGTTCACGCTGGAAGCAGAGCACGTGGAGAACATGCACGAGTTGGAGTATTGGAAACTTGTGCCCAAAAAAGAAATCAAGAAGCAAGAAGTAGTGGCGCCGGTCGAGTCCTCCGAGTGTTCGAGTCTGAAGGAATCGGAACCGAGTGGTGACCATTTGTCGGTGTACTACGGGCTAATCGAAGAGGCCGAAAGGTCGTTGGTGGAAAAAGATCAACTCCTAGAAACTCTCAAGGCGAGGCTACTGCACGTTCTCGGAGACTATCAGCAATTTCTTGTGGTTAGCTTCCGAGACAGGTGTCCGAAAATGGTCGCCGTCCAACTGAAACAAGTCAAACTGCTGACCAAACAATTGAACGCCATGAAAACGACCGGCGGCGGAGTCGGACAACAGCCGGAGGACGCTCAAAGCGACAAGTGCAAGTCCACGAGAAGGAAGAAAATAGTTTCGCTGTGATTTTTTTTCTTTTGTACACTGAGCATAATTATTACTATTGGACCTTAACGAAATTATTTCCATCGGGGGGTCAGTTAAACCGTATAGGTACATCAGGGGATACGTCAAACCATTGTCGACACAAAAAGGCACATTATACTGTGCATACCGAAATCCGTCAAACGGATCCGCAACGTTTGTTATTGTCCTCCTCCGACGACCAGGCGCGTATCTGTTTTGACGTGTATCGATTTGGTTCGTGTCAAAAACGGTAAGAATCCGTCCCGGTGTGTGTTGTTGTGTCATCCCTGTCAGCCCGACAAAGATGCTTTTCTTCTTTTGTGCAAGAGGCAAAAAGGCGTTTACCAACACCCGCGGTGACCGGTACCCACACTGCGGATCATATACCTTGGTGTTTGACGTTTGGAAATGGCCATTATGTAACACACATAACAACACCACCGGCGGGATAGGGTTTGGGAAATTATTCGAAAAACCGCTGAAGACAGAATTCCACATTCCCATG